GTTTCAGAACTTTAATGGGATCTTATTTTATCGTATATATATTCATTCAATCATTCATCAGTAATCTGTCAAGACGACAGGTCCACAGTCTCTTCCAAAACAGTTCCTCCACTTAATGCGATCTCGAGGTTTCTCCTTCAAATGAAAATATCCTCTTCTGTCCCCAAGGTCATCCAGCATCTTCTTACGTCTTCTTCTTCCTCGTCTTCTGGTCACTTCTATCCGCCCCTATATCTTTCCTTCAATAACTTCTCTTAGAAGGCAGTTACCGCGTAAGATATGACCAATCCAATTAGCCTTGCGTTTTCTTATTTCGTGTCGTATATATATACACGATAAAATAAGATCCCATATATATATAATATGAGCCGGGGTAGTGCAGTCGGTATAGCGGCTGTTTACGGGCTGGACGACCGAGGTGTCGGAGATCGAGTCCCGGTAGGATCAGGATATTCTCTTCTCCATAGCGTCCAGACCGGCTCTGGGGCCCACCCAGCTTCCTATTCAATGGGTACAGGCGGCTCTTTCCTCGGGGATAAAGCGGCAGGGGTGTGAAGCTGACCATTCACTTCAAGTTAGTGCCGAGGTCAAAAAAATGTGGATCTATATATCCACTCCCCTTACGCTTTCATGGTATAGTGTTTAATTAGTTAAGCACAAGGACAACTTTACACACACACACACACACACACACACACACACATATATATATATTACTAGGAGCTGGTCTTGGGAAATATAAATCGAAATACATTCGAAGTTTCGTAGAGAAACATGTCGACAGACAGATGTACACCAGTTCCACTTTGCGCGTTCATTTCGTTTAGTTTGCTCTTGCACACATAAAAATAATTAAGATTTTTTAAACATTGACTTAGGGGGACATAAACAAACAAGACAAACAGTAACACTGAACTAAGTTTTATTATTTCACATTCGGGGTACCGTAGTTGGTTGAGGCACTATGCTACAAGCCGGAAGGTCACGGGTTCAAGTCCCGATGAGATTTTTGGATTTTTTTAAATTTACATAATCCTTCCAGCCGCACTATGACCCTGGGATCGACTGAGCCTCTAATAGAATTGAGTACAAGGAAACTTCCTAGGGGGTAAAAGGCGGTCGGCGCCTAAGGCTGACAACCTTGCCGCCATCTGTGAGTCGATTGTGTAGAAAATTTGGGAGCCTCTACGTCTCACAACGCTATGGACCTCCACGGCCTGTTACAGGGATAGCTTTACCTTTTGTTTTTACAGTCGGATTAAAGTCTGCATAGACACTGTTGTTTAGATGTGACTTCTTAAAGAAGTCAAATTTCAATCAAAGAAATTATTTAGAACGCTAACCCTAAAACGAATGAATGATTATTTGTGCTGAAATATTTTCTGAAGATCAGTCGTGTTAATTTTGAGTTAAAAAGCAGCGTTTCAGATATCTCTGCTTCCATCATAAGGGACGATGCGTTCTGTTTTGCTTAATGGTGTAATGAGACAAAGTTAAACTGTCCTCAATAAATGGCCAACTGTTTAGTCTGAATAACAAGACAATTATCTTTTCATCAGAAGCCTCTGTCTTTAACTGTACAATAGCAAGACATTGTTAAGAATGTTAAGAACGACTGAAGACAACGGATATTTTGTATAAGCAATAAAACATAAGTTGCATTGGGATGATTCCTTGTCGTTTCTTCGGCTTGAGTGTTACTTTATTTGTTTTACAGTTCAGTCCTACGTTAAACATGAAAGTATATTAATGTTCTTGAACAGTGTTTTAGCATTAAGAGCATTGTTTACATTCAGCTAAATGCCTCCCTCTAGTGCAGTCAGCCTGAGGGGCTTATGTCCCCATTTCCAATGGAGTTGCAGCAGCTGTAGTCTGTTTCTTTTAACAACAGTCAAACGCACTTCAAGTGGACTTCTTTTCTTTTTCTTTCGCAGTGAATAGCGAAGACAACAACTAGTTAGGCAAAACAATAACTAAAGCGACAAATATTTTAATGTCTTCGGATTTCTGTACGTTTCTTTTCCTAATCACATGGGACCCTCAACGTCTCACAGTCCTATGGGCCTTCACGCCCTGGTACAGAGATAGCTTTACTTTTTTACTGAAATACATGGCTCGCAACTCTAAGGCATGAACCGTCTTCGCCTGCTCAAAGACTGGGATCTTGGGTTCGAATCCCACTAAAGGCATGTATGTCTGTGTTGTTCTCTGTTTAGGTAGCGGTCTTGCGACGGGCTGATCCCCCGTCTAACAAGTCCTACCGGCTGTGTATAGATTAAGAAACTAAAATAGCGGTCGAGGTCCACAAGGGTTGTAGAGCCAAAGATAGAGAGACGTCGCTTGCGATAAAATTAACGATAATTCAAAATTTATGTAACAGCGGGGTAGGAACTGCATTGATGTGCCTCAGGATAGAGACCAGTGGAGGGCTCTTGTAAACACGGTAATGAACCTCCGGGTTCCATAAAATGCTGGGAAATTCTTGAGTAGCTGAGCGACTGGTGACTTCTCAAGAAAGGCTTCTCTTTATGGAGTTAGTTCTAAGTAGGCCGCGCCGTAGCTCAAGCGGTTGGCCGCTGGCTTCCCATCGCGGCGGCCAGGTTTGGACCCAGGTCTGGTCATGTGGGATATGTGGTGGACAGAGTGGCTCCACAGTCACCATCATCTGTCATCTGGTGCTGGTACAATAGGCCAGTAGTGGCCGCAGTACAAGGGACTTAGTCCCACCACGATGATAATGATGATGATAATAATAATAATAATAATTATAAATAATAGATCCGAATGTTTAGATTTGTGGAACATGGGCCTGCTATTAGTGCTTCTGTAGTACTTCAACAAATTGAAACCAATTCTGTGTATTGCTCAATTTAATGGTGGGATACGTCAGTGGTGACAAAATAACTTCTGTTCGGGAGGCAGCTGGATCGAGCATTATTTTTCGCTCAACCGGCTGTCTCAATTATGTGACTTCCCTCGGTTTCCACAGGTAAATGCTGGAATTGTACGATAAATGAAGGAGAATAAATGACAGAGAATGAGCACACAGAAGGTTCTCAACAAAACCTGCCATACCTCATCTTGGTTGACAGTAAATTCCACAGCTCAACCGTGAAATCTGTGGCTGTTCAGTCTGCATTCTTCTCTAGAATACTAGATTTACTCGTAGAAAGGGTAAAGTAATTCTTTACTGGAGAATGTTATTAATAGTACTCAATTTGCCATCATAATATCACGTATTTTGGAGTGTGCGTGACTTATATACGGTTTTGGATTGATGACCGGATCAATTGCACTTATACAGCTTGTTACTACACTTCACAAACCGCTATATGACACACTATGTCCTCTCTCTTCCATCAGCTTCGTCTGGCATCTCAAGAGACTCCCTCAATTCTCCTTTCAGTCAAGTCAAAGTCAAAGTCACATTGCGACTGACTGTTAGTTAGTCGGTTAGTCTTGGTGTGAAGCCCAATCTGGGGCTTATGACCAGATATTTATTACCAGGGCCCGGATTGTGATGACCTGAAAATATTAAAAAAATGACCGAAAAATTCCAGAAAAATGACCTAAAGGAGAAAAGAAAGAACACTTCGCATCCATGTTATTCACATTTCAGAAAACATATGAAGATAAATTCCCTAAAATGGCCCAAAAATGACAAGAAATATCCAAAAATGAAAAAAATGATATTAAACCTAAAAAGTAAAAAAAAATGACAAAAAATTACCTATAACATTTACATTTCTGTAACCAGCAGCTCATATCCGAGATTTATATATTTAAGAGCATCGCATAGGATACAAGGGGAAAAAAGATGACGTCATCAAACTCCGGGCCCTGTTTATTACTGTTTGACAGTTTCGGTCTTGTTTTTGTGGGTCGCCCCATCTGACGGGAGGACGGGTCTGCCTTTTGTCAGAGTCATTGTTTGCAGTAGTAAGTCATTTGTCATAATGTAATATTTACATTTTGCATGTTAAACATGTTAATAAATGTATATAAAGTATATACAGGGCTTCTGTCAGTCCAGGCTCAGTACAGCAGATTATGTTCTATTTCTAGTAGCTTCCGCTACAACGGCAGTCTAGTTACTTGAACGGTCGTATGCTTGACCGCCGCCAAGTTTAAGCCTCTTATATCTCCTTTCAGTTGCCTTAGATCCTCATTATATCGTCTCGGGGCGACCCCAACAGAAAACACCGTTTCCTAATAATACCTCTATTGTTATAGAGACGTATTTGCTTCGCCGTTGCATAGAAACGGTAGTTCTTATTGATGCATGCGTATCCATTTCCACAATAACCTGTTTACCGAGTCGTTGCCTAGGAATGAACGTCTACTCTGGCTCCGCTATTCCGAATTTTCATGCGTCATGTCACAATATAAAATCTACGTAATAATTATTATCTTTGTTGTTCATAAGGCATTATCATTTGCCTGAAAGGGTGATGTCTGGACTAAATTAAATTGTGTCACGATTCCCTCCCCTTTACACCACTTTCGAGAATAGTGCCTGATTTGGTAGCAAACCGAAAGAACCTTCGGCGAAGGCTGGTTATAAAATAAAGATACATGAAATACTTACATCCCCATTGAAATTATTTGTTATCTCAGTGTTCAAGCAGGTGATGGATGCCAAAGCAACATATTTCTGGCTTCCTACAGTCTCCGAAGCCACTTCATATGGGTTTATTTCATTACAGCTTATTTTCTCCTTCTGTTCCAATTAGAATGTCGGACTAGACCCCTCATTCTTCAGCTATTGAGGCACATGTTCTGCCACCTGTAAGTTCGTTCTAAATTATCCAGTTGAAATAAATGTATAAGGAATCGGGATTTATGGCATCTGCATGTTTTGAGAGTTAATGGCTAGAGCCAAAGTCGAATGGATTTTCATCTCAGTCATTTAATAAATCCCTAGGCAACATGTAAGTGTCTTGTAGCAGATGTGCCCTTGACATATCGTGGCAGTATTTGAGAATGGTGTTCTTTTGCAGTTCGAGCATACGTTTAACGACATGACGATGTGACATCGAAGAAAATGGCCAGAATTTGTGGCACGAGCAATAGGCTTATGGCTGATGGCTGTGAAGACGGCAACTGTGCATTAAGGAGCTCCTACTCGTATGGTCTGACCAGTACTAGATTTCCGGTCCTCTTGGTGAGTGATATGTTTCATAATTAATTAATTATCATATTAATTTGCATTGAATATTTGCGATTTGGTTAATGAGTTTAAAGTTGCTTCTACTGCACTGTCTATCCGAGATAGGCAACAAAACAAAAACAAACTCCGTGATTTTAGTCTGCAAGCGAACTTAACCGACCGAACTACTGACGCTTGTAGGCGAAGTTTAGTGCCAACTTTTGCGGATAGAGAGTGTCGTGTGGTCAGCGCAACGAATCCCCACGATCGTTAATTTCGATTTTCTAGACCGGAGCCTCAAAGAAATAGCTCCTCAGTTATCATCACGAGACTGAGTGGACCCCGTTCCAGACCCATTACTTCTCAGAGAAAATCTTGCACTTTCGGGAATCTAACCTGGGCCGTCCAGTCCCATAACCCGTTGCTATAGCGTCTGAACTTGGTGTGGTAGCCCTGCTTTAAACCTCGTCGAGCAGTCTTCATTTTTGTACAGTTTAGTTCATTTTAAAACTCGCTTTACGAAGGTATAGATACACGAAAATTTTAACATTACCTTTTTTTTTTAGTTCGAATAATTTAATATATATGAGCTTACGCCTCTTTTTTATTACACAAATACTGCAATATGCACATTTCTGAGACTTTTCTTTATTTTGAAGACCACTTTACTTTCAGCTTTTCTGTACTTTACATACAGGCTTTTTTATCTTATGAATCGTGATAAATTTTGTTGAAACGAGGTATAGGGAAATTCTATTATATAAGAATATGTACACGTGTGAAATTGTAATTGGTTTAAAGATGAACTTTTCATAGGGCCTAAATACAATTTTTGGTGTACTTGACTGAGAAAGCTTACTAACATGATAGAAAAGTCTTTGATTGGACGTTATAGGAATCCGTAAACTATGCAGCTTTTTCTCTGTTATACAACATTTGGATAAAAATGGATGATTTCAGCATATTAGGCCTGTTGCGCGTTATCAAGAGCAATGTCCAAACCGACGCTATCGAGCTGTCATGTACACGTCATGTACACATATCCATTTTCATGACGTGATCCTTAATTACTTACGGAAAATTTTACCTGTATCTTTGCTCATGTAAATCCAGATCAATTTAGAGCCTCTGTGCATATATTGGCCTGACTTCACATCAGATCTTATTAATAAAACCTTATGTAAACAGACTGGCATAATTACCATGGAGACGAGAGGGTGTTGGCCGCACTGTCTGGGCAACATGCTCAGCCACCCATGTAGCACTACCTGCCCATCCAGTGTCGTGCTGCGTAGGTGTGTCCTCGTAAATGTTTCATAACTCCACGTCTCCATGCACTGTAGTATTTGACATCTACTGTCCTCATGAATATACAGCGCAGTATATTCTTTGTTTAAACGACTTTCTCAGCTTCTGTACTTCTTAATTCTTGCGTGATTATCTCCAGAGGCTGAAGGCTCTTGAACGATTTCGTAGTTTCTCTTTCCAGAACTTTCTTCGAAGCATATACCTGTTGTTCCAGTATTGTGTCAAATATTGTACGAGTATAACGCGTGTGTCTCATGCAGGTGACTTAACATTGTTATACTTCTCGTATAAGCTGAGGTAACAGTGAAGAATATGTAAAGCTTGTATGGTGAGACAAGAAATCCATACAGAATTTCCGTGAAGAAAACTTTTGCAAAACGACCACTTGGAAGAATGAGTCGATAAGTTACTGGGAGGAGAGCAGTCACGTTGTAACCATGGAGCATAAATAAAAATGGACCGACATCATGCCCAGCGTCTAGAAGCGAGTTAGGAAGAAACCCAATAATCTAGACTCTAGATTAACTCGATGGATTTATTTCTTCTGTGCCTAGAGTTGCTCGTAAACCGCGTTATAACTTGAAGAATGCGATGTTCTTCGTTGTAACACCGTGTAATTTGGGGATATCCCTACGTTTCGGGAGAAATATATCGACTGCATCGTCAGGGTCGAATAACAAGCAAAGCAAGAAACCAATAGACGAAGGCTGCAAACTGAACACAGCTATTGAAAATCTATGTTATCGGGCACTTAACGTAGGTCAGGACTGAGATCAAAGCCTGATTGGCGTTAAAGATTACTGAATGAATTAAATATGTGTAAAGTATACAAGGAAGAATCGCCGAATGGAATGACATTCACACAAAGCATATGCAGATTGTATAATGTGTGTCTATTTTGTTCCATTCAGTAGTTTCCTACGGCTACTCAGGCCGCGCAGTTTAAGACGCTCGCTCGAACAGTGGGATCGTGGGTTCGAAACGCACTCAAGGCGCGGATATCTGCGTTTATTCTGTGTTTGTGTTAGCAGAATCCACACGATCGTTAATTTCGGGTTTCTAGACCGGAGCCGCTATTTCTTTGAAATAGCTCCGCAGTTATCATCACGAGGCTGAGTGTAGCCCCTTCCAGACCCATTACTTTTCAGAGAAAATCTTGCACTGCCGGGAATCGAACCCGGGCCGTCCAGTCCCATAGCCCGTTGCTATAGCGCCTGAACTTGGTATGGTAGTCCTGCTTTAAACCTCGTCGAGCAGTCTTCATTTTTGTACAGTTTAGTTCATTTTAAAACTCGCTTTACGTAGGTGTAGATACATGAAAATTTTAACAGTACCTTTTTTTAGTTCGACTAATTTAATATAGATTTATGAGCTTACGACTCATTTTTATTACACAAATGCTGCAATATGCACATTTCTGAGACTTCTTTATTTTGAAGACCACTTTGCTTTCAGCTTTGCTGAACTTTACATGTAGGTGAAACGAGTGTTTCACAGATGCCTTATGCTCCAAGTGGGAGCAAGAGGAGAAGAAGAAGAAGAACAAGAACAAGAAGAAGAACAACAACAACAACAACCAGGCTGTAATCTCAGCCCTGACCTATGTTCTTAATGGCTCATTAGTTATTGATATAGAACAAAAAATTAAACATAGCTTTTGTTTTCCTCGTTCACTATCGATAAACACTGAGATATCAGGCACGGAATGATCCCAAAATCTCTATTAACCGGAGACTGATTAAGCGTGAAATATTGGTATCTTGTTGATGTTGTTAGATTATGTGTCCGCCATGTTACATAAACAGTGATGAAAAGGGAACAGGCCAGACACGGTAGCCGAGCGGTCTAGGGAATGTACTGTCTTCGCTCGCTTGGAAACCGGGATCGTGGGTTCGAATCCCACTCAGGGCATGGATGTTTAGTTTGTGTGTGTGCGTTTTTCTGTGTTTGTGTACAGGTAGAGGCCTTGCGACGAGCTGATCACTCGCCCAAGGAGTCCTACCGAATGTGTAAGATCTAGAAAAACCGAAGTGAACGGAGAAGTTCATGGAGGTAGGCCTAGGCCCACTGGAGCTGTAGTGCCAAGGGGGGGGTGGGGAAAAGGGAACAGAAAATACGGCAAGGAAAACAGGCCAGGATATCAAATGGCAAATGAAATGGTTAGGGCTCCTATGAAATTTCTAGGTACATTAATACACACACATAAGTTGTAACTTCCCAATATCTGGAACATTTGGGTGTCCAGAAAATTTTGTTTCCGGCGGTGACCCATATCACAGCGTCTACTGAATTACCTTTTATCTTCCTTCGCGAAAGTGAGTTTATAAAGTTTCAGAGACGGTACTGAATTTCAGGGCAGTGTATTTTAGATATATATTAGTAGTGATAAGTGGAAAAAATGCGAACTGAGATTTGAGGTTTCCATGACGTTGACTCCGAAGATTACTGCTTTCAGTATTATATTTAAGCATCCTGTTACACTCACACAATATATATGAGACAAACTCCGTCTTAAGTGCAACAATTTAATTGTAGTTCTTTCTTCTTTCCTTACGTATTTCNATACAATTGGAAAGACTGGTGTTTTAAAATTTTAAACTACGGGCAGTGTAGCAGCTACGTAAGGATATACACCTGATGATGGCCATTTAGGGCCGAAACATGTAGTGTAGAGGAAGGAAAGAAGAAAGAACTACAATTAAATTGTTGCACTTAAGACGGAGTTTGTCTCATATATTACTGCTTTATAAGATGTGACGTCACGTGATGTGGTACAATGTTACCAACGTTTCTGACGGATATACTGCCTCATTCTTCATAGTAGAAGAGTATCCTAAAGATGGTGATAGTATATTCCTCCGAAACGTCGATAATGATCTACCAGATACTTGGTGTCATCCCAGAAGGAAATCTTCAAGAATTACGAAGGATTACAGAGGGATGGCCCCATGCCAAGTTTCTGACAAGTGACAAATCGGATTAGGAAAGAATCCAAGCAGACTTGCAGACACACAGGCACTGTCACGTGGGTACGTGGCGTGTCGTTACGTGACCAGTTTAATTCCCTCTACAAACGAAGGTTGCCCCTCATAGCGTTACTAGAGGCAGAACAGCGCGTGGTACTTCAGCGTCCCTCTACATAAGCCCTTATCCGTTTATTAAGGGACTACATGTAAGTAAGTAAAAAGTGAAGCTATCCCTGTAACAGGCCATGAAGGGCCATAGGGTTGTGAGGCGTTGAGGGTCCCACATTATCTAGACAATCGGCACATAGATGGCGGTAAGGTTGTGAGCCCTACGCGCCACCGCGCTTTACTCCCCAGGAAAATCATTTATTTAATTCCTGGTACTCATTTCTGTTAGAGGCTGAGTGAACCCCAGGGCCATAGTGCGGCCGGAAGGATTAGGTCAATTGAAAAAATCCAATAACCTCATCGGTATTTGAACCCGCGATCTTCCGACTTGTAACATATGGATAATCAGTTTCCAGACGTTCATGCAAAATCTTCACACAGCTGTTTTATTTACAAAACAATGATAAATAGAAATATGTCAGGTTCGGTATTTCATGTCTCCTAAATGATTTTCCTGCCGATCACAGTGGCCGCGCGGTCTAAGGCATGAACTGTCTTCGCTCGCTTGACCTCTGAGATCGTGGGTTCGAATTCCATTCGAGGCATGGATGTCTGTGTGTGCGTTTATTTTGT